AACGTCATCTCTTCAAGTTGATTGGATGCCTCCTTCCAAGGTGAGTTTTTCTCCTGGATCGTTTAGCCTGAATTTCTTAATTCTTAATGCCTTATCTTGGCATTCAAATGTTTTCACAGCAGAGTCTCAATCTACCTTTCCTCCCCTGATGCATGCAGTCAGTGGTTTATAGGGCTATTTATCATAGTGGAAGAATTGAAAGCAACCTTAATGTCCAGCTGCAGGAGAATAGTTGAATAATTTATGATGCAACCACATACACCATATATTGCTAATAGCTACTACTTAGTGCTTACCATGACATCTGTTATTCTAAGCACTTTTCATGTAATTAACTCATTTCATCTTTAGAACCACTTTGTGAGGTAGCTACTACTATTCTCATTTTATAGATTAGGAGATGGAGCCAGAGAGGTTAATTAACTTGTCCGAGGTCACACAACTAGGATGTGGCAGAATCAGGATTCAAACCCAGGCAGCCTGACTCCAGAGTCAGTAAATACCCTTAGTCCCTAAACTGTCTCTTGTACAGCCAACAAATGGTACAATACACCACTAACAACTTGCCTAAGAATGTTAGCTTTGCATCTAATAAGGGCTGAAGTGAATGAATAAATTTATTATGACATACATATAGGAAATGCTTATGTTATACTGTCCATGGGGAAAAAAAACCTGGATATCATTTATATAGATTATGAATTCAACTATGGAAAGTTGTAGAAAAATATATAGCAAATGACTAGAAGAAAATAGGCCAAAAGGTTAATTCTGCCTGTGGCTGATGGGCTGACAATAATTCCCCCTTGCTTCTTTAGACCTGTATGTCTTTTCTAAATTTCCTAAAGCAAACTGGATCTGTAAAATTAGAACAACAATTAACAATAGCTTTTTAAAAACATGAGACCCTACAGAGGCAGGTTTGGGAGACATCACCAACAGGCATCAGATACTGATCCCTTTCCCCCCCAAACATTTGTTAATTTCAGAGATGTTTCACTGCCCCATATACTCTCTTGCACAAAGCCTGACCATTAACATAGGTGTTCTGAAGGTCATCCTCCGGTAATAAATACCCAGGAGGCAGCTTCCACTTTGGTGCTGATAGAAGTCCCTTGAGAGAAGCCAGTTTCCTGGATCTCTTTGAGGGAATTTATTACAAGCACCTTTGATTTCTGAGTCCTTTTGCCCCTGCCCTTCCTTCCATTGCTAGTGAATGGGGTCTCCTGGGCATAGCTTCTGAGTCCTGCCCCAGGGCCCCAGGGCAGCAGTTGGGGCAGGCAGCAGTGTGTGAAGTGTAACTGACATTTTGATGCGCCCTTCTAGGCTTTTGAAGCCCTGGGCCACATGTGGTACGAAGGAAGGAGGCCTTGGTTTCAGGGCACGGCTCAACACTCACTGATGGGCTTTAGGCAACTCGCTTTACCTCTGAGCCTCAGTTTTCTCATCTGTAAATGGGGATGATAAGGAGCCATACCCACCTCACAGGCTGTTGTGAGTCTTCAAAGGGCTCAAGTGGGGTAATGTATATGTAAGCCATTTGTAAATGTAAAGATCTATGTTCATGCGCATTGTCTTTATTTTTTTGCAGCTTCCCACTCTTTTTCTCATACCTTTTGGAGTCACAGAGAGAGGCTAGTTCAAATTAAGGGAGACCTCTAGAGGGAAAGGCTTGGGAGGTGGGAGGGAGCTAGAGGAACATCATGGGAGGGTGCGGGATGCTGAGGAGGCAGGTGGAGAAATGTGAGAAGGTGATGTCAGGAGTAGAACATCAGAGAAAGGGATGTTGTAAGCAGATATCTAGGAAGCCTTGCATCTTGATGTTTGGTGTGACCCCATTTTGTCTCCTTAAGAAACCTGCAGGAAAGACCTCTCTCACTTTTTCATGGTCTTGGAATGAGATTTGTAGCCACCCCTTGCCTACCTTACATTAATTTCATGCTAAGATTGGCCTTAAGGCAAGAACAGGAGGAGTAGCCTAAGAGAACTTGGGTATACCAGGTTCCTAGAATGATAGCCCCTCCGCCAAGTGAGGATTAAACGAGAACATGTACATAGATTGCCTTGCACACAGCAGATGTTCAGTAGATGGCAATTATTATTATGAACCAAAAGATACTTGGCTAAAACATAAATGATTTGATAATTGAGACTTGGTTTCTCCTCGTATCTCCTAGGACAGGGCTGGACACTGAAACTGATGGGGCGAAGCACAGTCCAACGACACCTGTGCCCACACAACACGTCCATTTCTGCGACCATGCCTGTTCACACTATGCCCATATCATACTCTGGCGTCTTGGGGCCATACTGCTTGCTGTACTAGGCACGGTCGGGCTAGCCATTTCCCTGTCCTGTGGCTGTGGTCCTCCCATGGGGCCTGTCTCTAATGTCCAGCCTCTGTCCCCTAGTGTTGTTCTCCTAGAGATGCTGTGACTCTATTTCTATTTTCTGAGTTGGGTTCCATAGACTTAGCTGCATATAGGTACCTTTATCCTTGAAGCTGAGAGCACTGAGGCCCAAGGTAGGGGGTGCAGACAGACCACAGGGTGGTTCCTTTAACCCTGAGCCCACCCTTCTATTGGACAATGGGTGCTGAAGGTGTGCAGAGAAGAACTGCGGGGGCCGTCTAATGTTCTACGTGAGCATCTAGAGGGGGATGAGGAGGGAGGGTTTGGGAGGATATTTTCAACTGCCTGTGTTTTCTTTATTCCCTACAAGACTGTGTAATAGCACCACCCCCAATTCAAGAGTGCTATGAAAATACTGTGAGTGGATTGTTGCAAATGAACGTTATAAAGTAGGGCATTATTTGTATTAGCCAGTAAACTGCCTAAAATGATGACCAAGAAAGGCATTACCTAAAATATTATTCATGAGCAGAGGGTGAGTTCATGGGGAGATAGTGTCCAGAGGGAAATTAGTTATCTGTACTTCAATGAAAAACAGCCTGTCAAGGCAGGGGCCCCAGAAACAATGCGTGGGGAAGCCTCCTTGACAGGCTGGGAAGGACAGGACCATCTACCTCCTGCCTCTCACAGGTCAGAAGGCCCCAACTGCAACCTGGAGGGAGTGGCCCCAAAATGGAAGGGCTTCACAGCTGCTCCCACCCTGGACATCTTCCAGGGCCATCTTCCCTACCTGCCCACTCATCTGCCTCATAGCCCCAGGAACTTCTTGGGCGTTTCATGTCATCTCAGCTCATCAGGGTCCGGTAGGAACCCAGAGCGAGCCTCTTCCTTTGTTTTCTCCATAATTTGGCTGTAGTTCTCCTTGTAAAGAGTACTGTGGAACAGGGACTGGAGAACCTTCTAGAAAAGCCTCTCCTCTGTTTCTTGTTCTTCATTTTTTTTTTTTAAGTTTATGTATTTATTTTTAGTAATCTTTATAGCTGTGGGGCTCGGACTCATCACCCCCAGATCAAGAGTCGCGTGCTCTTTTGAGTGAGCCAGCCAACTGCCCCCTTGTTGTTGGTTCTTAAGTAGTGTTGACAACAAAAGTGATACTGAGGAAGGAAATGATTAAGGCTCTCCATTTATGTGGAAGAGGGTTCAAATTCTAGCTCTTCCATTTTTCTTGGTGACTTCAACTTTCTCATCCAGACAATGAGGTTAAGGCCATCATGTATCTTTTGACCAGGACAGACAATATAGTAAGGCAAAGCGCTTTTGCTCCCCAAATCGTAGGTATTATTTGCATGTCTTTTTTTCATTCCTGCTGTCATTGCCTCAGCTCCTATTATATCTCCCCGGATGGCAGCTTGCAAGCTGGTCTCTATGCTCTATGCTCGTAGTCGCTGCTCCTGCCATCCATTTTCCAGTAAGCTGTCAGAAAAATCAGTATAAAACACAAGGATGTATGCCATGCCCCTGCATAAAATCTTTTAAGAGTTTCCAATTTTCCGAGAATAAAGTCGAAATCTTCAATATGGCATCCTCCCAGAAAGAGTCTTATGAGTTTGCCTACTTCCACTCGCCAGTAACACATTTTACTGTTACGAGCACCTTCTATATGCCAGATACCGAGCTGAAGGCTTCATAGAGATTGTTTCACATAATCCTGAAAACAACACTGTCATTAGTATCTCCACCCTACAGAAGAGGAAAGAGGTTCAAAGAGACTCAGAGATGTTGAGGAACTCAAACCAATACACAGCTAGTTGGTCATAGAGATTGGAATTCACTCTGCTTGGCACCTCGTCCAACTGGAGCTCTTTGTACTGAGCAGTAATGCTACCTCAGGAGCTGGGAAGGGCCAGCAGCATAGCAGGAGGGGTCCAGGATCTGGGAAGGGAGGAAGCAATATCTGGAAGAAGGGCGATGGAGTTGAGATGAGGATGTGAGCTCCCCTTTCTCAAGTTGTGATGGGGAGTGGTCACCTAGATTTGGAGAGAGTTCTGTGTCTGGGCTTCAAGCACTGGTAGTGTTCCCCCCACGTTGTGTCCCCAGAGGACCCAGACTACCTTCCACTCTGCCCTTCCCTCCAAGCACAGAGCCTGGTGCCAAGTGCATGCTCAAAATACATTCGGGCGATGATTCCTGCCATTGGTAGTCACATCCTGTCTCGGGGAACTGGAGTGGTGGCCCAAGGCTGCTTCTGGCCTTCCTGTAGGGCGGTTTTCTGTCTAAGTGGCCCTTGGGCCACCAAGGGATGGTTAGTATGCGGTGATTCTTGCTCAATCTGCGGTTTCTTCTTGCCGCCACCTCCTAAGAAGCCCCAGATCAGCCTCAGTGAAAGGAACGAACCTCGCTCCTTCACCACCCTACCTGAGGCCTCCCCTCCCCAGCCTGCAGACAGCTGGGGCCACGTGCCCCTTTTGTATTTGCGGTGTTCCAAAGCACCTAGTGCCTGCCAGGCCTGATGTCGGGAGGTTCTTGTCAAACCCCGGGAAAGAGATTTTGTGTTTTCATATTCTACATAAGAATAGTTCAGAGAGGTTAAGTGACTTGCTCAGGGTCACGCAGTCAGTCGGTGGCTGAGCCAGGATTTATAGTTCCCGCTTGAAAAGCCCGAGAGAGTGTGGGATTGAACCCTCCGGGACCTACGGAGTGGGGAGGTGAGCCAGCATTTGGGGGTCGCGGCCCAGCCGCCTCGCCCCTCCCCCTGTTCCCCCGTTCGGCCTCCTCAGCCGGAGGCAGGGGCCCAGCATCACGCAGTGCGCTCACCGGGCACCGCTCGTCCGGAGGCCCGCTTACTAGCGACCCCCGGAGGGCCACGCTAGTGGGTTTGGGGCGCCGTGTGACCGGGGACCCACCCCGTCGGCCCGACTATTTGCATAACGGAGACCGTCGCTTCCCCCGCCCCTCTGCCGCGCTCTTCTCCCCTCCTTCACCGTCCCCTCCACCCCTCGGCCCCCGTCCCCCACTCGTCCCCAGCAGACCCTCCTGCCGGGACCTGGCGCCGGGCTCCCAGCGGCTGCGGGGAGCGGAGTCGGGCGGCACCTGGGGGCGGGGAGCGCAGGGCAGGGCCGGGCTGGGGAAGACGCCTAGGGCACTGCCCGGCGCTAACAAAGGGAGCGGCTGCCGGCCGGCGGGGGCGCGGAGCGGGCGGAGCCGCA